CACTGGATAGAAGTTATTGAGAAGTAATTTATTGTTATAATATACTTAAAACTGAGGATAATATTGCAATTTTGGAACAAAAAATTCTCGACGCACGTGATTCCAGCGCAATAGGTTAACCGCTTGCGCTGACAACTGATTGCGGACCATAACGAGTGACCAAATACAAACCGTATACAATTCGTCGCTTTCTTTTTCAACTCGTCGCTATGATATCGCTGGATAGAAATTATTGAAAAGTAATTCAATAAATTTATTATGTATCCTTCCTTCGTCTCTCCCGTCGTTCATCACCAACCCGATTACACTTTTCCTTTTTCTTCGCTCTTCCCTGTCGCGGGAAAACCAAATTCCCTTGGCTGAGTGTGATGCGACGTGCGTAAACCTTATATTTTTTCTTTTTTCATAACAAGATATATCCCTCGAAACAATAAATTCTATTTGAAACATTTTTTTCTATAACAAATAGTTTTGGAGGTAATTTCGTGAGAACATACTGTATATCCGAATTTTGATGGACCATTTTATATATATATATATATATATATATATATATATATATTCTCACAACGTTTCCACGATTGAAAAGTGATCTCGTCATCGGTCTTTTATTTTTCCATCCGCTCCTTTTTTCTCGTTCATCTGTTGCCCCGGCAGATCAAATATTTCGACGAAACCGTCAGCGACTCTCCAGCGAGAAAACGAATTTTTAATTAGCAGGAGAAACTTCCCTCGACGGAGGCCGATTAAAATCAGAACGGTAACGCGAGTTTTGCAAGCGAGATATCTAACGATTAAAAAAAGAAGAAAAAAATTGGAACACCGTTAATTAACGGTGGTACGTTAGATATTTCGCTCGTAGAACATTATTAAGCGTGCTCGACACGGCCCTCCGCGTCGATTAATTATCCGCGGAGGAGGCCTCTGCATTTGACCCGGTCCAATCGTCATTCGGTTAATTGTATCATTACATCAGGCACACGTCGTCACGTGTATAAATAGTTGTTACTTTCGACACGTGAAAAATTAATTTTAATCTGTCACTGAAAGGTTGAAATAATAATAATAGTAGTATATTTTTATTTCAGCCTCCTTGGCCTTGAAATTGACTTTGGTTTTACATTGCACATTCGCATTGAATTTATCCTTGCTTTTACATATATTTACATAATATTTTTATATTACTTTTTATTTATTTTTATATTATTTTTATATTACTTTTACATAATATTTTGTATCCTATTTTGCTTTATCCTATACTTATACTTTTCTTAACTATGCTATTCTTTTGTCTACTTAATATCTTAACCTAATTCTTTCATTTTATTTCATGTTTATTTGTTGCTCTCTTCTTTTTAGACCTGTCTTATCTCTTCTTTCTTTTTATCTTTCTTTCTCGAAAGGTTGAAATAATAATTTAAATAATAATTTAAATAATAATTTATTTGGACTTGTAACTCAAAATTTTTCGTTCGAACAAAGTTAAAAAAGCAACTCGTAATATTACTGTTGATATTAAAAATTTAAATTATCATTAACCATTTTTACTTCTGTTTTCTCCTCTCGCTCTTTCTGCAGTCCTAGGGCCTGCGTTTTTGCCTCGTCAACTTCGTTCTTACGTCTTTTTGGAGTCTTTTTTCCACCGCCCTCCGTTTGCTTTATTTTTCTTCATCCTCTCTGCTCCCTTTCTCCGCGGGTCTGTACTGGGAACGCGAGACAGCTGGCACGAATCAGATCGAAATTACCAAAAGAACCGCTCCTTTCTTTCCCCCTACTGTTTCTATGCAGTCGTTTGAATCCTGGAATCGAATTGATATTATATACGTGAGTTGCCTCGTAGTTTAAATATGTTATTTCCGATCGCAGGAGTCATCTACGAGTTATCTTTCGTATATCTTAAAATTTCTGTTATTTATTTGTCTAGTTATTTTTTTTGTATATCTTAAAATTTCTGTTATTTATTTGTCTAGTTATTTTTTTGTATATCTTAAAATTTCTGTTATTTATTTGTCTTAGTTATTTTTTTGTATATCTTAAAATTTCTGATCGGCAGTCTTTTAACGAATCACGGTGAAATCGGCGGCGAGTCCTTCAACAGCAGAACTAATTAGCGATTTAACGCTAGCGAAAATTACCATCAGAGACATTAGAGTAAAAAAAAAAAAGGAGAAAGGAAGAGCAAAAAACTTTGTGAAACCTAACCTAAAAAAAATTCTAAAAATCATTCAGATTTCTAAAAAGTATCCTGTCTTACGTCTGCAAAATTTCCAAAGAAGAATTAGAAATTGGTCGTTTCAAATTTCCAAAGAAGAATTAGAAATTTTTGGTAAGCGGTGAGAAAGATTATACAGAATAAATCGTGGCGCGTCAAATTGATTGGCGCCGCGCGAGATACCGACAGAGCGATGGACAATAACCCGGCTGTTTTAATGTTAACGACAGGTTAGCGTCGTACCCTGTCGGTAAAAAAGAAAAAAAGACGAAAAAAGAGAAAAGAAAAATGCAGCGAAGAAGAAAGGGGCTGCTGGCAACGGGAATAGAAAGGTTATCGAGGTTTGATCGATGTTTTTTCATCGCCAGCACCCGGAACACTGCCGGCGACGAAAATGATGATGTGTAAAATCACGTCTTTGACACGCGCCATTAGCAATACGAGAATATCGAATTCGATGAAAGGTTTTTTAACGCTCCGTTTCGCTTTTAAGCATTTTATAACATTCGTGCCGCTTCCTGAAAGCGGGTTATAAAATCAATTACCGGGCCAATTATCGGTTAAAAGCGAAATAGAATTTTTGATCGTGGATCGCGTTACCAGCCAGTCCCCCCCCCCCCCCCCATTCTTTTTTCCCGCTTGACGAACGAGAACCGGCCGAATGTCATTTTCGTCGAGAATGATTTTTTTTTTTTTTTTTCAATAAACGTTTAACACGCACGTTATTGTTAATGCTATGACGTTGAGATTGTTGCAATTTTGCGAAAAGAAATTAGTACTTGGGGTCGAGGAGATAGGAGGGAAAAATGAGTACGTTTGCTTTTAATACAGGGTGGGCCAAAAGTTTCTACCTATGTTTCTTTTTTTTTTTTTTTTTTTTTAATGAAACATCAAAATACAAGAGGAAGCTAATTTTATTAATTTTTAAATTAAATTCCAGCGTTCAAACGTGACTTTTTTTTCATTTTCCGGTAGTTTTCAAAATTATTTTTTTTAAATGTATACAAACACATAATAAAAATTCATTTATTTCAGTCGGAAGTGATTTTTGACCCGTCCTTGTATAAAGAATAAATTTAACAAAGTTCGTTGTCCGTTGTCTGACTCAAATAAAAAATCCACATTAGATATTAATGTAATATTAATTTATAATAATTAACGAAATAATATTAAAAGTTAATTTAATATTAATTCATGATAATTAACGAAATAATATTAAAGGTTAATTTAATATTAATTCATAATAATTAACGAAATAATATTAAAGGTTAATTTAATATTAATTCATAATAATTAACGAAATAATATTAAAAGTAAATTTAACATTAATTTATAATATTATAATTTAAACAGAAAAAGAGAAATAAAAAAACTGCCCTTTACTTAGTTGTCAGTAAAGTGTTAAACAGTCGGTTAAAGAACGAGAACGAGAAAGAAAAAGGAAAAAAGAAAAAAGTCGCACAATTGGCGCAAGTTGTTGCGGATAAAAAACTCGAAGCGAGCAGTTTGGAATTGAAACGCGCTCGGTATTACGCTGGATGGATTGATTGTCTTATCGGAATCAGAACGATGATTTGTTCGGCCGGTTTATTCCGGGTTGGAAACGTATGGCTGCGGCGGGAGGGGTGGAGGGGTGGATTCGCGACGCGGAAACGTCGAGCGAATCTTTCGTCGAGAGGGGAGGAGTATTCAAGGCACGGATAAAAAGGATCGGATAGATTTTAGTAGCGAGTAATCGTGCTGTGCAACGATAGTTGGTCGAATGATCCTCTTTTATGGGGCGCGGAAGAGAGATCCTTCCTGTTCTCCGAATGCCCCGTCGCTTTTCATTCCGCGTTCGTTTTCCCCTCTCTCAACGCAACGAAATAAGCAAAAATTTGTATTTAAATACCCTTCCTCTATTTTTCCTTTTTCCTTTCTTTTCTTCTCTTTTTTTTTTCTTTTTTTTTTTTGGTAAAATTAAGAGGCTCGAACGAATCCCTAGATAATTCTAGTCTCTCGAATTTATGGAAAATTCGACTCTGCTATTGCATTTTATTTTGTACCATTCTTTCCATTTTAAGTATTACGTACCTTCTTTCGCTTTTTCATTCGCGCCAGTGGTTGTTCTCTCTCGTTTCTTCGATATTGAATTAAGATAAACTTTAAATGCAGAAGTTATCAATAATTAAGTCTGTTCGACTTTTAAAATCTTACATGATTCGAGTTCAAATCGACGCAAGTCAGATTGGTTTCTATCTATGAAAATATTTAAATTACTTGTACGAAAGGACTATAATTTAATTTATAAATTATTTATAATTTATTTTACTGTAATAAATTATATATAATATATAATTTGCTATAATAATAATAATATATTATATACTGTAATAATTATAATGTATAATTTACTATAATAATAATATATAATTTACTATAATAATAATATATTATATACTATAATAATAATAATAATAATATATAATTTACTATAATAATAATAATATATTATATACTATGATAATAATAATATATAATTTAGTACAATAAATTATATATAATATATAATTTATTATAATAGTAATAATGTATTATTTACTATAATATATAATTATAAGTTATTTATGTTAAATATTAGTAAATATTTATAAAATTATTTTAACGAAGCGACGGAGGAGGGTAGGAAATTTGCTTTCTCCCCTCCTCTCGTCGCGTGGTATCATCGTCCCGGAAGCGAGATAGGAATCTGTCAAAGCTGTCCCGGCGGACGCGACGAATTACCAGTAAACAGGGGGGCAGGGGAAAAAGAGAGAGAGAGAGAGAGAGAGAGAGAGTGAGTGAGTGAGAGAGAGAGAAACGAACGTAGGTACAGGGCGTTTCCGTCGCGACTATTGATTCCTCATTGTCGTACGACTCGCGACGCGAGGGACACGCGAGCCGTGCTACGCCAACCGGCCTGGACAAAAGCGTAAAGCCACCTTCTCTCTTTCCACCTTCTTCCTCCATTTCCCGCGCAACGTTCCCCAAACAGCTGGCTTTTCCGAAACTTTTTCAATCTGCCCACCTTCTTGAATTTACTGCACCGACTGTTTCAGCTGTAGTCACGTCGAATGTTTATAACGATAGAACCAAGTTGCCTGGCTTATATCTCGTTTCTCGTTCAACGTTTCTTTTTGTTGAAGTTGATGTTACGTGAGGTTTGAGTTGCGCGACAATCATCAAGAACTGGTAGATAATTGACAAATTGTTAGCGACACTAACTTTCGCTGTTCCCTGTTCGTGGAATAAGATATCAACATCTTGCGTCACGTCGAGAATTTTTTTTCCTCTCCGAGAAATTGCAATATTTTCTCAGTTTCAAGTATACTTAAGTATAACCCGGGCAAAACAAATGGTGAATTTATTAATTCTCAATCATTTCGATTTCCAGTGACATCGTACCGACGAGTTCAAAAAGAAAGCGACGAATTGTATACATACGGTTTATATTTGGTCACTCGTTACGGTCCGCAATCAGTTGCCAGCGCAAGTGGTTAACCTCTTACGCGCGTCGAGAAATTTTCTTTTTGTCCCAAAATTGCAATATTCTCTCATTTTTAAGTATATTTTAAGTACAATCCGGGCAGAATAAATAATTAATTTATTGATTCTCAATCATTTCGATCCAGTGACATCGTACCGACGAGTTCAAAAGGAAGAGAAAGCGACGGACTGTTGTGTACGATTCGGTCACTCGTTATGGTCCGCAATCAGTTGGCAGCGCAAGTGGTTAAGGCAATTTATCTTGTATCAAACTGGTGAATAATTGACAAATTGTTACGCTAGACGAATATGTCCATGTAGAGCTGATGATTAATTCGTCGTTGATTCACATTTTGGCAACATTCACATAAATGAATCAAAGCGTCCATTAATTGATACTTATGTATGTACAGTAGATTGAAAAAAATATTGGCACATGTACTTGTTTCGCAATATGAAATTTTCTTTATGAAAACGAATGATAGATTAAAAGAAGTCTGTTTGCATAAATAATTTATTATAATACATACAAAAGTAATATAATAATGAATTGTACAGGATGTTTCAGTATTGTTAGAAAGTATTTGGTCAAGCTTTTGTCGCTTGTGATCGCGATTGAGATAAATTTAACAGAAACAACAAAAATAAGATTTAACAAGAAACTATAATAATAACTATTTATTTCAATTAACGTATAACAAGATTTTAATGATGACCGTTCGCTTTGGTTGATTATTAACAGTTGAGAATATATAATACAATATATATTTTCTACTGTTTTATTTTCTTCTTCATTTTTAATTTAAGCGTCGCCGCTGTTGAAGTCGCTTTTAAAAATACGCGCGCCGCCACAACTAAACAAAGTGCCGATTTACTTTCTCGATTCGCTCTATATATAGGGTGGTCACTGAAAGGCTGATATAAAACAAAAATACAAACACATGTTCCTTTAACTTTTTATTATTTTATTTGGAAATATAATTAATGGATTTTTTCAGTATTTTTTTCTATCCTACAAAGAAACCTAACCTACCTACAAAAAAAGAAAATAAAACCTAACCCTACATAAGAGGAAAATAAAATCTAAACTAAACTTACAAAAAAAGAAAATAAAACCTAAATCTAATCTACAAAGAAGGAAAATAAAATCTTAACCTAACCTACAAAAGAGGAAAATAAAACCTAAAAGAAAAGAAAGTCTGAACCTAACCTACAAAAATGGAAAATAAAACCTAAACCAAATTTACAAAAAAAGGAAATGAAACCTAAGCCTAACTTACAAAAAAAGAAAATAAAACCTAAATTTAATCTACAAGAAAGGAAAATAAAACCTAGAAAAAAAGAAAGTCTGAACCTAGCCTACAAAAATGGAAAATAAAACCTAAACCAAATTTACAAAAAAAGGAAATGAAACCTAAACCTAACCTACAAAAGAGGAAAATAAAATCTAAACCTAACTTACGAAAAAAGAAAATAAAATCTAAGTCTAGTCTACAAAAAGGAAAATAAAACCTGAACCTAACCTACAAAAAAAGAAAGTAAAATCTAAAAGAAAAGAAAATCTGAACCTAACCTACAAAAATGGAAAATAAAACCTAAATCTAGCCCACAAAGAAGGTATTTCAGTGGCCACCCTGTATACACGTTACGACGTTCGGTTATAGCAAGCATATATTCGACGACATAAACACAGAATGGTACATCTGTTGGTCGCGAATGGTCGCAGATGATGTAGCATCGACACACAGCGTCGGGTCACGGAGTCGAAGACGGAAGTCGTATCGATTGCGCGTATCGCGAAATTTATTGTTCCTCCGACCGAATGGTTTTCCACTTAAGTGGCCCCGGGCTCGAATTTCCCCGTGGCTGCTGGCCTCCGGTGGGCGGAATAATTTATCGAACGAAACGAATGTCCCGGGCCGCGAGCACCACCGCGTCTGGCCAACTTTAAATCCCAGGTTGGAGCTGGGGCACTAAGGAAGATCGATATGAGTTTTTAAGGGACACGCGAGCTTCTATTTCGGTTTCGGAACGTGACCGTGCCGTTTCCTTGTCTTCTTCGTCGGGACGCGATTTTCAAAAGCGCCTCAGTTTCAAAAATCAGAACGAAGTCTCTCCGTTTTAGGTATATTCAATATTTAGGCAAAACGAATGATAAGTTTATTGCTTCTCAATCATTTCTACCCAGTGATGTCATGCCGACGCCGTTCGAAAGAGAAAGAAAGCGACGAATTATTGTACACGATTCGGTCTCTCGTTATGGTCCGCAATCAGTTGCCAGCGCAAGTGGTTAACCTCTTAACGCACGTCGAGAATTTTTTGTCCCAAAATTGCAATATTTCCTCAGTCTTCATTAAATATATTTAAGTATAATCCAGGCAAAACAAATAATAAATTTGTTAAANTTACTTTTCGATAATTTCCATCCAGTGATATCATACTGACGAGTTTAAAAAGGAAGCGACGAATTATTGTGTACGGTTCGGTCACTCGTTATGGTCCGCAATCAGTTGCCAGCGCAAGTGGTTAACCTCTTGCGCACGTTGAGAATTTTTTTTTGATCTTAAAATTGCAATATTTCCTCAGTCTTCATTAAATATATTTAAGTATAATCCAGGCAAAACAAATAATAAACTTGTTAAATTACTTCTCAATAATTTCTATCCAGAAAAGAAAGCGACGAATTATTGTATACGGTTCGGTCTCTCGTTATGGTCCGCGCAACCAGTTGGCCAGCGCATGGGGTTGAAAGAGAAATCATCGTGCGAAGTGAATATGATTCACGCAGCGCATTGAACGAATGTGACGTGAATCGTATTTGATTCGACGGTGTTGACAATCAACGATCGATGCTTGTTGTCGAAACAGAAGCTGAAAACTCGCGCTTCGAACGACACGGAAATCTGGGGGGCGCTTTCGGTTCCTTCGAACCGAGCATCGAAAGAGAGAAACGGCGAAACAGGAAGAAAGAACGAGCGAGAGAAACAAGGTGGGAAGAAACCTGGATTATATTCGGGAACGGCGGAGAGTTGACGAACTTCCGGAAATTCCAGCTACTCTGTAATACGTTTCACATTTTTTTCTATTCGAGCGGACTGGCAAATCCCTCCCTGCTCTTTCTTTCGGCTCGTTTCGTTTTCGATTTCACCGAGAGGCACGCGTGGCCAGCGAGAAGCTTAAACGTTGGCGACGTTAGCGCAAACAGTCGCTCGTTTTTTTTTTCTGTAGTTCGAGCACACACGGAAAGGTCGGAACAATAATATCTGTACTACTAGCGAGTGGAAGTCTGGCCAGTGATCTTGGCGGCAGGCCAAAAGAGTATCTGTTAGAATCTCCGATTCGTACACGTACGATGAAAGTAAAAGTTCCTGCTGTATAATTCGAGAAACACTCCCGATCTCTCTCGGGAAGATTGTCGAAAAATTCATTCGAAAGGAAAACAATCGTCGAAAGGAAAATTCAATAAAATTTAATAATCTCGTTAAAAAGGAAAAATTCATTAATAAAATAATTAAAAATAATGAAAAAGAAAAATAAATTGATATGAGACAGAAAACCGTATCTAGAAATATTTCGTTATTTTATTCTATTATATATTATTTTATGTTATTTATTATTATATATTATATATTATTATATATGTTATTTTATCCTATTATATATTATTATTATACGACTGTCAAAGTTTCACGCTTCCAAATGAGATCAAGTGGATCGTTATACAATCTTTTTTTTCTTCTTCTCTTTTTTTTCTTTTTTTTTTTAACGAAGTTATGTTCAAATTACCGACGATTTCCCATTGTCACTGATACAGTTGTGCTCTTCGTTTCGCCGACAGATATACGACCAGTTTACTCGCATGCGCGGTATTATTTTCCTAAAAAAAAAAAAAAAAAAAAATGTTTCACGCGACGGTCGATCGACATCGTATTGGCAATTTGATAAAATGTTTCGATAAATTTTTTCCATTTAGTCGCGTACATCAAAGGACGTTTAATTAATCATCTGCATTTCGTTTTACTTTCAGGTAAGAAGTAGAAGACTGACATATGGGAACGTAACATATCGACAGCCCCCCCAGTGGAGCCAAAGGTTTTTATTTTTGTACATCTCTCCGTTATTTATTCCAATCGCCTCGGATTTGCGTGCATAGTTGACAGTTTATTAAATCTCTCGTTTCACGTCGTAAGTAGAAAATTTGCATGAACATCCATTTGCAGAAAAGTGTAGCCAATCGTACGTGCACAATTGGCTGGATATGTCTCTAAAGACTATTAATAGGCCATCCTGGTATTCCGATGAGTGCGCGATTTCCCTCCGAGTAAACGCTGAAAAATTTCCAACCCGACACTTATTATATATATATATATATATATATATATATATATATATATTATATATTATATATATAATTATATATTAACGAAATAAATACGTGGCCGCTTCTCCACTTATCCCGAGTTTAATGACACATTTTAACATAGTAGAGAGCTCAGATGTACAGTCAGTCGAGAAAGACTTCGCTTCATCGATTTCCTTCAGTTTATATACTGTCAGTTTATATACTGTTAAATTCCATTTTACTCGCAGTGTGAATGCAGTGGGATAGTGTGTATTTAGTACTTTCTCTAAGGGTTATGTTTTACGAATGATTGCAAAACTTTCCGTTTTAAATAAAAAAAGAAACTAAATATAAAAAATATTTTATTATATTTAGTAACATTTTAATACATACATATTATAATAATATTTTATTATATTTATTTACATTTTTAATATATACATATTATAATAATATTTTATTATATTTAATAACATTTTTAATATATACATATTATAATAATATTTTATTATATTTAGTAACATTTTAATATGTACGTATTTTAATAATATTTAATAACATTTTAATACATACATATTATAATAATATTTTATTATATTTAATAACATTTTAATATATATATATATTATAATAATAACATTTTATTCAATCAGTAATTTCTAAAAATCAATCAACATATAAATATATAAATTTTTGGCTGGAACATAAAAAATATAAATTTTGTAAAAAAGTCACACCGATCCGAACTTGAACGTGTAATTTCCAACTCCTTTGCGGATAAAAATCGAAATTTTGCTATAGAACCTTGAGAATATTATCGATTTACAGTAGTCTTTCAAACAGTATTTTTCAAGTATTTGGAAAATTTCATTCTGCGAATTGAATTTTTAGTTCTTTAATGTCTCAGTGCCGGCGAAAACTCCGAGTTAATTATTCTCTAGAGCAGCGGTTCCCAACCTGGGGCTGTATAATATTGATAACGGCGGAAAACCGGAGAAAGAAGTTAGAATAAAAACGCGGAAACAGAGATACAGAGTTTTGATTTAGAAGGGGAGACTTGCGTGAAAGTTTCCGAAGAATGAGAGGGGGTTACTCGAAATGAAAAGCCCAGTCGAAGAGAGACAAAAATTGATTTAGGAACCGCTGCTCTAGAGTATTTCAACCCCTGTCGAGGACCATAACGAGCGACCGAGCCGTATATACAGTAATTCGTCGCTTTCTTTCTCTTTTGAAGTACATCACTGGATAGAAACGATTAACAAGTGACAAGCTTATCATATTTTTGCCTAGATTTACATTTAAAATATACTTGAAACTGAGAAGATGTTGCAATTTGGGACAGAATATTCGACGTCATTTCAGCGCAAGAATAATAACACTAGAATAATAACAAAGCATACAATTGTTTAAAAAAAAAAATCTCTCTAATTTTATCGAATTACCAAAACGCAAAATCTCTCGAAGAGTTGTTTGAAATTTCTCGAACGTTTTACGTAGTAGAGTGTGTTGCTAGTGACTGTACACCTCCTCGATACCTCGAAGGTGGTTAATTTCTGACACCCCGAGGTGTCTGTTTAATCGGAACGAATCGGTGGTTGAAAGAGTTGGTCGGGACCAGTTTGAAAGTCGTTCGCCATTTGAAGCTTCGTAAGAAAGAAAGAAAAAAAAAGAAAAAAAA